TTAAAGCGTGTCTGTAATTAATAATATGTAATATTTTTCTCTTTCCGGCTGAGCAGAGCAACAACCAGTTGTTATTTTTGATGGGGAGAGTTCAGAAAAGAGCCGAGCTTAAGCGAATCAATTGGCCTGGCAACATGTTGGGTTGTTTGTTTTTGCTGGCCGAGCGAATGTTGCCCGGGAGCCCCGTGTGGTATCGGAATCGGAATCCGAATAACGACAAAACATCTTCAGTAGCCGCTGGGGGCCGGTGGCTTTGACATCTCGTGCGTAAGTGGATCCAAAGTCAAGACCATTCCAAGCCGGACCCACCGCTTATCAGCCGTTGGCCAGTGACGAAGGCAGGCAGGTTATCGCCGGGTTTAACTAACACTGTGCCCCAGTGATTCAATTCAATCGAAAGTATTATTCGTGGACGGTCGAGTGCTGATTATTCGAATGTAACTCGTGTGGGGAAGTGTCGAATTTCTCGCGCTCACAGAAGGTTTCTTTGTTGCCGCCAATCGGGACTGTCATCAGTCAACAATTGTGCCTCGCACCGATCGCATCCACAGAGCTAGACCCTGTATCTATCTATATTCATTGTATATTATACACATTGAGCTGAGCAGCAAAATTGGTGAAATGTCGGCAAATTTGCTAATATTTGCCCTAAGTCTGTGCCTGCTGCAATCGGGAATCGTTGAGGGTTTATCTCTGACGTTCGGAAACCTCACCTTATTCAACGTAAATTTCAAAACGCCTGCCATCTTAGGTCGATCAGTAGCATTGGACAGCAATCTGCGGATCGAGAGCGATGTGGATCCCAATATACAGGAAGACTCTCACTTGAATACGGTAAGTTAAGAGCTAAGTCAAATATATCAAACAGTAACAAGATAGTAATACAGCAGCATATAGCATTTTTAATACTGTTTAGTCTTAGTAATTTTGATTTATTACTTCAATTCTATTATCATTTCTCATGAAAAAATAATTGAAAACCTTGTTCATTAATATGTTTACGTTTACATTCGCGACATCTAATATTTCCCCTAAGATTTATTCAACGAACTTTGGAATTAATGATCGTATCGTTTCTAATTAATTTGCTGCTATGGTGTAGCTGTCATGATTAACAGTAGCTTTTACAATGCTTTGGAACAGATCATATCGGTTCATATAATTAAATCATATAGATCGATATTCGAGCGTGATGAGATTAAACTGATTACAGGGCTCAGTGTCATAGTTGTTATTGAAAAGAAAAACAATAACGAGATTACAAACAAATTGCTATTATTATTTTTAACAGAATAAGTCTAGCAATAAAATAATAAGTTGATTACCAAGCAATGGCTGCAGTGGCCGTCGACTTCGAATTGTTATTAAACTATAACCATAAAATATAGGTAGTATTAAAATTAGTCATAATAAGATAATAGCTTCGAAGACCTTTACCTTTAACTGAACACCTATAAAACATGGATTTTATTTATTAAACTCTTCTTTTTCGTTTTTCCCCCTCTTTAGTATAATCTTATAAACAAATATGGATACCCAGCGGAGAATCACACCGTGGAGACTGATGACGGATATATACTCACCCTGCACAGGATCGCTCGACCAGGAGCAACTCCAGTTCTTCTGGTGCACGGACTGCTGGATAGCTCAGCCACTTGGGTGATGATGGGACCGAACAAGGGACTTGGTAAGATCATAGGCTATCTTTTAACGGCCCATACTGATTGCGTTGTGTTGTTCTAAAGGTTACCTGCTCTACGATCAGGGGTACGATGTCTGGATGGCCAATGTTCGGGGCAATACGTATTCGCGAAAGCACGTGAAATACAGCACACACCATGCCAAGTTCTGGGATTTTACATTTCACGAGATGGGAAAGCATGATATCCCCAGCACGATCGACTATGTACTAAACTCAACCGGAGTCCGTCAGCTGCACTATATTGGTCACTCGCAGGGAACAGTTGTGTTCTGGATTATGGCTAGTGAAAGACCCGAATACATGGACAAGATCCATCTGATGCAGGGCTTGGCCCCAGTGGCCTTCCTAAAGCACTGCCGCAGTCCGGTGGTCAACTTCCTGGCCGAGTGGCATTTATCGGTGAGCGTAAGTTACCCCATCCTACTCATCCTATCCTTTCGAAGAGTGTTTTTGCATTGGAAAGTAACCATAATGTTTTACTTCTGGCTTGCAATTGATAAAAGTGTTAATATCAAAGACCCTAAGGACTATATCCAATTCAAAACATCTTCCTCCTTTGCCTTTTCCCTCAAACTGCTCCATACTAACGAATGTTATTCCTCCTTATTTTAGCTGGTGCTCAAGCTGATTGGTGTCCACGAGTTCCTTCCCAAGAACGAGTTTATCAGCATGTTCAACCGGATCATTTGCGACGAGACAACCATTACCAAGGAGATCTGCTCGAACGTGATCTTCCTGACCACCGGATTCGACAAGCTGCAGTTGAACGAGACGATGCTTCCGGTGATCGTGGGCCATTCTCCGGCCGGAGCCTCCACCAAGCAGATGCAGCACTACGGTCAGCTCAACAGGTCGGGGGCTTTCCGGCAGTACGACTTCGGATGGCTGCGGAACCACTGGCGTTACGGGACCATCGAGCCACCATCTTACCATCTTGAGAATGTCCGTGCCAAGGTGGCCCTATATTACGGCCAAAACGACTGGCTGGCGCCCCCCGAGGATGTGGAAATGCTGCACAGGGAACTGCCAAATGTGGTGGAAAAATATCTGGTGAAAGACAAGGAATTCAACCACTTAGATTTTATCTGGGGCATCGATGCCAGGGAATTGCTGTGGGACCGGATGCTAGAAAACATGAGAAATCATGAAAACTCAGTTATATAAGGGGGTAGACTAAATGAATATGGTTATAGTTTAATTATTCACAGTATATTGTATTTTACGGCTATTCATAGATTTATTTATTATTTAATGGTAATAAAACTGATAAAGATGAATTTTATAAGTTGAGTAAAACTGGGTTGTTAATTATTGATACATAAAATATTTTCAGAAGTGCTCAGCCTTAGGATTTTCCCAACAGAAAAATTCTTGCAAGAACAGTCTTCGCCTAAGAAATGTTAGAATTGTGAAAGCTTTATCCTTAGCAACGCAGCTTATACTTAGTAAAAGCATTGTATTCATTCATAGGATAAAATGTCGAATTTGTATTGGCTACTTTACAAATTCGGTAAGGGCATTAAAATATTCTCTCACGCAGTATATGTAATTTGTATTCATAGGTTAAAATGTTAAATTGTTATTGTCTATAGTTATTATTCTGTTAAAACGCAACCGTTAATCACTTCAGTTACCAAATTGATCTTGTAGTGGTCGGACCAAAATAACTAGCCTCGTAGAAAGTCCGAAAATAAACATGTCACAGAAAATGTTTATAGTTTCCTGACTTCTAATTATTGTTCAGCGGGTAAGTAATACTCTGTTTAACCCTTTTAAACTAGTTAAACATCTAAACGATCTTGAAGATGCATTGTTAGACACGGTTAGCAGAATTGAGAAATTTTTAATTGCACCGAACCTTTATAAAAGTGTTTAAGAGCTCAAAAAAATATAAATCCAAAAAAATTTTTGAAATCATAATATATTTACGGATATTTTGGTATATATACTTTTGGGTTGGGTCTGTTTAGGATCGCTCGACCTGGACCGATTTCTGTGCAGATGGTGCTTGGATTGTTTGATAGCTTAGCCAAAAATGTATTTTCTTCCAAGGGATACTTGCTATATGATCAGATCTACGATGTCTGGGTGACCAATTTGCGGGGTAATATCGTATGCATTCGAGACACCATTTCCGGTACACAACTGACGATTCTGAGTTTTAAAACTTTTCGATCCTTGAGATGGGCGTATATGATCTGCCAACATAATTGAATTTGTACAGATTAGTTACTTGCGATTTTTTTTTGGATTCTGGCCAGTGAGAAACCCGAGTACACGGATAAGGTCAATATGATGCAGGCTTTGTCCCAAGAGTCTTTTTTGACGCACTGCCACGGTCCGGTTGTGAATTTTTCGGCTGCTTGAGATGCTTTTGTTGCGGTACGTTCATTTATTTTCACCATTAGAACTTCAATGCACCCATGTCTAATTTAACTAATGTTCAATTTCTTCTTGGATCGACTGGATTCAATGAAATCCTGCACTAACATTATCTTTTAGAAAAATCAACTCAATCTATTTGTATCTATCGTAATAGGTTTAGTTAAATATATACCGCCTAAGAAGTCCCATTCATGGGTTTTAATTTAATTAATTTATTTAAAATTCTTTAATCATGTCAATTAAGACCGTGCTGGTTAAGTAGTTACATTTTGCCTCGGAACCGGTTTCAATCAACTTCCAGTTCTATGACTGTTAAGAATTATGTACGATTAGTTTATCAATGCACTATTCAGCTTTCACATCAATTTTACACGACCTTATCCAACTGTCAACTTGTTGCTATTCCCACTTCCATATCCACTTACCGTGCTATGGAAACTCGTTTAATATATTATAAAAAAGTAGAGGTTACGATTTTGTGCATATTAATTGCCCTGATTCACGTGAGATGCAATCGGGTCAAGGAGCGGAGCGACTTAACTAGCTTCGCCAACTAAAATTAGCTGCTCGGATCAAAAATGGCACACGAGCTAGTTTTATTGCTCAGTGGCAATTGATCGCGCACCGGGAACAGTTCTAGTTCTAGAAACTTTACTACTTCCGATAAATTGTAGAAGGCTATGATCTGAGGCAGGATTAGCAAGGATATCGAAATAGAATAAAATCAAGCAGCACTTAAAATTCATTTAAAATTATCATTTTAAAAACTAAAATTAAAAAAAAATCAGAAATGAATTATGTCTTACAATAAAAAAGTAATATAAAAATGCATTTATATAAGAAATGCCGGATTACCCAGAAATTAAAAATAAAATAATACAATTGTGTTGTAAAAACATACTTTGAAATTAAAAAAGAATACGCGAAAAAAATTATCATGATACGTACGAATTAATATTTTAAAGCTTGTTTCTGTGAGGGATAAATTGATAAAACACCAAAGTTTATAATGGTGAAGAAAATATTAATACGTTGATTTAACATCATCTAAAATGCAATAATTAAATTTTGTTGTAAAAATGTTTGATAAATGTCGGATTTATAGTTTGTTAGATAAAAAATAATTAATAAGTAAAGAAAAAAATATTGTAGGGTTAACGTTTGTGCTGAAACCTTTTTAACACCGATTTACTGCCACTTAAAACAGTTTTGCTACATGCACTATTAACAGAAATGGATCTTGCCTGAAGCACTTTATTGGCCAATTTCGCTTGTTTAAATTAATTCTAGCCATATCTAAGTGCATGTTACAAATTGCTGCAATCGAAGTTAAGATATAGGAGGTCAACATGTTTAGAATCTGTAATATAAAGTACTTGTGTGGCAGTTTGATCTGCCTTTTGTTTTCTTGTAATATGGTTTCTTGCAACTTGATTGAGGTCGACAAAAACATTTTAGAGGATGCCAATCTAATCACGGTAAATAGGTGAAAAAGCGTCTGAAATTTACCAAAGATGTTTGTTTTGAAAAAAGGGTTATACAAAAATTGTTGCATATAATTTTAGCCTGATCTAATCAAAAAGTATGGATATCCGGCGGAAACCCATAAGATACAAGCAAAGGATGGCTTTGTCCTCACGGCCCATCGAATTCCAAAGCCCGGCGGACAACCAGTTTTGATGGTACATGGCCTACTGGATAGTTCAATTGCATATGTGATTTTGGGACCGGAAAGGTCCTTGGGCTTTATGCTCAGCGATTTGGGGTACGATATTTGGCTGCTCAACACCCGGGGAAATCGATATTCGCGCAAGCACAAGCGATTCCATCGATACCAGCCGCAGTTCTGGGATTTCTCGTTTCACGAGCTCGGGATCTACGATCTTCCTGCTGCTGTGGATTATGTCCTTGCGAGGAGCAAGGGTTTCGAGCAGATCCACTACGTCGGTCACTCGCAGGGCACAACATCCTTCTTTGTGATGGGCAGTGAGCGACCTGCCTACATGAAAAAGATCAAATCAATGCAGGCCCTGGCTCCGGTGGCATATTGGGACTACATCGACTCACCCATTATCCTAACTTTTGTAAAATACCTACGGCCCTTCACAGTAAGTATAATAAAAAGGTATAAAATAATATATACATATATTATTATATATGTTCCTCTTATTTTATATTAATTATTTAATTTTATTATGATTAATTTTCAGCTTATTGCTAAATTGTTTGGCATCTACGAATTTCTACCGGAAAACGATGTTTGGCGAAGACTTGGTAATAAGCTTTGCAGCTTTGTGTTTCAAAACACTTGTGCCTACTTCATCCAGGAGGTTATGGGCGTGGATTTCAAACAGTTCAATACCAGCCTGGTGCCGCTTTTCACGGGACATGCATCCTCGGGATCATCTGTAAAGTCCCTGTGGCACTATGGTCAACAGATCCACAGTGGTGGGTTCTTCAAGTACGATTACTACAACTCCTGGGAGAATCGAAGAAGACACGGCGCCGACACTCCGCCACAGTACAAAGTGGCTAACGTTGATTGCAAAGTGGCACTGTACTACAGTAAAAACGATCGCCTGACCTCCGATATAGATGTTGTGAGGCTACGCGACACTCTGCCAAATGTGGTGCTCGATTACCTGATACCGGATCCCCTTTATAACCACGTTAATTTCATTTGGGGAAACGACGTGAAAACAGTGATAAATGATCGTATGGTGGAAATCATGCGGAAAGTGGATAACGGCGAGTTGTAGGTTTATTTTTAAAAATTATTAGAATGTGCCAAAAAGAAATCCAAATTTATTTTACGTAAATAAAGAATACCTTTTTCGTATTAGAAATAACCACCTAACAAATATAAGTTTAAAAAAAAAAATTAAAAAATATATTATGAAAGTTTTTAGGGGTAACGATAAAAACGAAAAATACGTATTTTTAAAGCAAATCCTTATTTACAACTTTTCTATTTACTTAGCAACACAAAAGTGCGTCGTTACCATTTTACAATTCAATCCGATGTACTGATTGCAATGTGTATGCAGATAAATAACAAGACAGCACTCTATAAATTGTCTTGTTTAAATAGTATTGTATTTATAAAAGCTTAACTAGTACAAGTAATTATATAACATTTTCAGATTGATGGCTGAATAGAAAGAAAAACACTTTCAATAATTAAAATGCAAGCAACTTTCGCATTGAAATTCGAAGATAAATTGTTTAGTGGAGCAAAGTAACAACACTTTTTAAGCCGCAATCGTGAAGCTCACGTGGTTGAAAAACTTTACTTACTTCAAATTTACTTTGCCAAAAATGTAAGGCCATAAATAAGCTCATCCTCAGACCAATTGATTGTTTAAAGTTATTATTTTGAGCCCAATTAAAATGCAGAACGTCGCTTGAATATGTTTTTAGGAAGCAAGGACTCCTTTAAGCATATTTGAAAGTTTCTTGTTTTCTTTGTTAGAGTCTCACTCAACGGCAGACTTATTGTAAATTACCATGAAACGCATCGAAACATGAAATCAGATTAAATATTTAAATCGGACAAGAGGCTTGTGGCTTGCCAAAAAACAGGAGGAGCTGCCAGCATATGCTGATAATATATTTCCATAGAGCTGGCGGAAATTTATTGCAAGTACATTTTATTTAAAACTCCATTGCATCTGACACTTCTAAGTGGGGGAATCCCCTTCAATGCAGTGTAGCTGCCAAAAAACTGAAATTGCCACTGACACTGGCGCGTACATACATTTGTATGTGAGTCTCTTTTTTCGGGTGTGCCTGGAAACCACAAGAAAATAAAAGTGTCACTCTATAGATGCAAACTTAATTGTTTGCAGTCTGAGTCCGAGACCCATAGAACAAACAAAAGCATTTCATATTGTGCCACAGAGGACGGGGCTGCCACAAGTTTCAATTTCTAAAATAAAGGCCGAACAAACTGTCCACAAAAATATATAGAATACGTTTTGATTGCACAAAAGTGAGGTCTATGTGGGAAATCATTTTAAAGTGCAAATCAAAACAGCTAACTTTGAGATGGCTGCGTGAGCAACAAGTTTAATAGAAATTTCAACTTGGGTAATTTAAGTTGGATTTATTAATTCTGGTTTATACAATCTAAGAACTCTTGACAAAATGTATTTCTTACATTGACTTAAGAACATGCTAAACTTGGGAATTGGAATTGTAAATTGTGAATAAGTAATTTAAAGTCATTATACTACCAATTATTTTTGGGAATGAAAAAACTATATAGTATAATCATACTAATCATAATCATAATCATATACCTTACATACGAATTATCAACATTTGGTGATATTTTTCTAAGTTATTAGAGTATTAATAATACAATTTGTAAATCATTAATATGGTAATCAAAGGTTCTTTTATAGCTTAGCTATAAAGCTAGAAAACATTATTTTGCAATAATTTTCTTATAATGGAACTGCATTTTTGTACCCGGTTTTACACCCCGTCTCTGGTTGAATGTCACACACTATTATCTTACCCCCACAGTTGAATTCCGGGAACTTCCCCATCGAAGACTAAACCATTCGCAAGCTTACAAACTAGCTGTCATCACTGGGCACAAAAATCATTTTACACAACTTTGTAAGCTGCAACGGGTCGGCTACTTGATGTGGTGCAGTGCTCGTCACCCCTCCAGTGCATTGTTCTCCGGCTGTCTGTCCGTCTAAGGACTCCGCCCGTGTGTCGCCACCGCCTGCTGGACATGTCCGGACATGTCAAAGCCCCGGGTGTTGTTTTTACGCCCGCAGGCAACAGGCGAGGCAAGGACACTCCCGTGCCAATCCCAATCCCAGTTCCAGCTCCCAGTTCCAATCCCCAGGAATCATTCAGACGCCTGGCGCCCGGGAGTATCAATCATGTCACTTGACCGAGCGGAAATCGAGTTCTCACAGAAATGCAAATGGGTCTTGGCCTCATAAAGTTTTGAAAACAGAGAGCGACCCTAGAATGGGGCACTGAGAACAACGCTCAGCAGCAAATTAAATTGTCAATTCGGTTTGGAATATTCGTTAAAATTCTGTGGCCACCATTGTTTAATGCATTTACATGTCCGGAGTGTGGAGTGCGATTAGAAGTGCCCAAAGACAGCAGGTCCTTTGTCCAGGACCTGCCTCCGTAACACAGATCGCAGGCAGAAACAAAAGCCGAGGCCAGAAAACCAATCGAAGTCATTTGAAGATTTGCGCACCGATTTGCATTTGAATGGGCCAAATGGGTAAAGTTTGAGTGTTTGGCTTTCTTTTCTCTTCTGGCCAGGCTTAGGTCAAGGACCAGCTGCTGTGGCTGGAAGGGGCGTGGCTACGCCCACAGCATTGTTTTGCGATTGTTTTGGGGAAATAGCCCCGAGCCTTTGGCTTGTCAGCTGCAACAATGGGATAGGCCTTCAGAGTGTTGTCTACTTTTGGGGGCTCGACTCTGGAAACTTGGAGGAAAACGGTGAGCTCAGTTAGAATTAAACAAACATCTACTCCCACAATTTAATCTGGTCACGATGTTTAATTGAACTTTGTAAATAACAATAAAAATAACAATTATTTGGTAATTATTTATTTATCATTCAACTGTCTGTCACTGCTAAACATATTTAACACTTTTGGCAATCGCATGCGATTTATGCATAAATCGATTCAGACTATAAAATTATGAGCTGTCATAGAAAAAAACATTCAATTAGCTTTGTTTTCATATGCACATATAAAAAATATGCGCATAATTTGTTAGAATATCGCTGAGATTATTATTCTCTGGGGTCTTTAAATAAAACTAAATATTTAATAAAATATATTCTATACTCACGTGGTAGGTATGTCAATTTTAAATTGAAGTACACTCAGGGAAAAACGCCGTGCGAAAAAGAAGTACAAACAGCCTTGACTTAAGAACGATTTAATGCTGAACTTTTTGAGAACGTTGGTACTGAAAAATTCTTAAATTGAGTACAATTTGGTTCCAAATAAGATCAAGCAGAAAAAATTCTAAAATGAATTACGGAAGTTTTCAAATCAAGATTAAAAATATTTCGTTCAAGACCGAATACAACTTAATAATAGCACAAACATTGTTTGCCACTATTTTTTTTTTAAATAAAAATAAAGATCTGGGTAAAGATTTGGAACAGATAATAACTGGAAACATCCTTATATACTTGCAATTAATTTAATTAAGTACTAAAATTATTTTATTTCTCAAAGGGTGTCAAAATCTTCTTCTTCGATAAAGGGTAAGGTCAGACTATCAAATTGTTTGATTTAAACAAAGTTATATACATTTATGGCTAGCATTTTTAAATGCAAATTTAAAAAGATATTTTTTCATTTTAATAAATGTTAAATTTTAATCGGCTGACCGTAGCTTTTGGATTTCTTGACGTCCTCGCCGTTCTTTTAAAAATCCTAGAACGGTCACACTTGGCTTATAAGCGTCTCAATTGACCCAAGCGTTTTCGTGGCACATACATAAGTGAAACAAAAAGTTATAAAAATGAGTGAAAAAGAATGTGAAGAGGATCCACTATATCAACTTTTAAAAAAGATAGAAATTGAGGAAGTGCATACATTTCTAACAGGTAAGAAAAGCACGCGTTTTTTGGTGCAGTTGTAATTTTTATACATAGCGGTAAAACATTGTGTGTATGTTTATATGTATGTGTGTACATGTGTTATTTTTGCAATTCAGAAACGCATCCGTTTTGTTTTATAAATTATAAAATATGCCTTAACTTCAAATGTGTGCAATGTACATAAATAAGTTTGTAATAAGCGGTAATAACATTTCTTAGAAATTCTGTACTGGGTTCTTTCACAAATAACTGTAAGCACGTGTTTCTCGTGTAAAAAGTGCATACGTACAAACAAGTGTATATACATATGTATATAATTTTACCGTCATTCGGCGACTTTTCGCTTACATAAAAAAGAGGAATACAAACGCCGACTAGTGGCTTACTGGTCAACACAGTTATCAAATTTCGTGGAATTCTTCCGGGGGTGTTTGTATTCCTCTTTTTTATGTAAACGAAAAGTCGCCAAATGACGGTAAAATTATATATGTATGTACACTTGTTTGTACGTATGAACTTTTTACGCGTGAAACACGTGCTTACAGTTATTTGTGAAAGAACTCAGAACAGAATTTCTAAGATTCTAGAAATGTTATTACCGCTTATTACAAACGTATTTATGTACATTGTACACATTTAAAGTTAAGACATATTTTATAATTTATAAAACAAAAAGGACAGGTATTGAATGTGCGTTTCTGACTCGTAAAAAGTACACACGTACACACATATATACATACACACAATGTTTTACCGCCATTCCGTCTCTTTTAGCTTAGTTGAGACGCCAGCTAATAATATGTATGTTCATAAATTTTAACTCCCTTGTCAATATCATTAATTAAACCTATATTTTTACTTACATATTTACATAAATTTAAATATTTATTCGCATCAACTTAGCTGCTAAAGTAAACATCGAGCAGCTAAAGTACATGAACGCCGATGACATTAAGGAGGCAGTGCCTCCATTAGGTCTGCGCATAGGGTTTAGACAAAAACTCTTCAGATGGAAGGAGTCTGAGGTACGTTATTAGCCAAATAGTACATGAATAGGGTTTAAAGTATTTTTAATTTGCAGGGTGGAGATGAAGACCGAATTGCGCCACTACCCTCTTTTGTCAAGCCAGACGTCAAGGCTCCCCTAAAGTCCATTTTGAATAAAAGTTTGCACTCCTTACTTAATGAGTCTCGAAAGGGCATGAAGATTTTGGAACACGAAGAGACTCATCTTTATCTTCCCCAAGTGCTTCGGGACGAAC